GGCATCTTGTCTGTCTGTCAGCGTATCTGCCGGTATCCATCTGTGGACTTGCCAGTACCTGTTTCGTTTGTTATGTCCGGTTGTCTATTCGTTTAGTCGTGGCCGACCGTCTGTGTCGTGCTTGTGTTCTGTCTGTGTCTCTTCCTTGTCCGTCAGCCTTTATGTCTCAGGCTGCGCATCTGGTTAGCTGTATCCCTCGGTATGACTGTCCGTGTATCTACCCTTCTCCTTCTTCTTGACCTCGTTTTACCTCCCTTCTTCTCGCTTCTCTACTTCATTACTAACGGATGCTTACTCAATACTGAAGTTGGCCTACGCCTTTGCGACCACAACGACTAACTCCAAACCAACGAAGGCAATGATATATCTCTTCCTGCGACCTTCATAATTAATATTAATAGTACAACAACAATAAAATTTTAAACATTATTATTATAATTATAATAATAATAATGTTGATAAATGATGTATATGGAAACCATCTGCGAGATCACACAGATATCGAGGTAGTCATGTACAAGCAGAGGGTAGCATGGCGTCGAAAATCCACCCATATAAAGCACTGTAACGAAGTAACTAGCCAATGTTCAAGCACACAGGTCATATCATCTTTGTATCAAAAGTCGCTCTTTCTCTGCCTGGCTCCCAATGCCCAACCTGTTCGTAATTGTCACAGTATCTGCGTGTGCATGGCACTTGTGAGAGTGCGTATTTCCATTGAGTTTCGTCGTGTCTTCCTGAGTCATCGGGTCTGTGTGACTGTGGCGAGTCTGTGGTGCAAACTTACGCAGTCAGCGTTACCGGTCCGATCAGTCCCCGTTCAGTTCAGCAAGTACCATCTGGGGCCGTGTGCACTAAGGGCCGACCGAAAGAGACAGACCAACGAGCTTCATAAGTACAACTCAAGAGGCAGCACCCAGTCACACATTCACTTCCCGCACGAACCATATGGAAGCGCATCCATAGTGACTTGTGCAAGGGTCTGTAGCGGTCTCGGAGAGTGCACTTGGGCAAGGCAGAAGAACATAATCATAGGATAGTGGTAGGGTGGTCATAGCCTTTATAGCTAGTAGCAAGTTGCAGTGTGTGTGCGAGGTATCCAGGGTAATCCTGTATTTTGCGATCATGATGTTGTTGGAGTGCTGTGACGCCTAAGTCATTCGGAGCGTGCAATCGAACCGTGTTATTATCTACCATTATCTCCGAACATTGAGTTGGGGTTTTCCGCCAGTCTGGTATGCCCCTGCTTGCATACATTCGAAGTATGGACGAAGTGAGTCCGACCGCGATAATAATAATAATAATATGATAATAATAATAATCAAAGAAAATGAGCGATGGTAATCTTCAGAAGACAAACAACATCATACACACGCGACCAGATAGTCGTGGCCTCGAACCTAAGCAGAATAGCACTGCGATCCCCACCAAATAAGAGAGCAACAAAGTTCACAATTTACAAGGTCGATATAGTCTCATCATTATCAATGCAGAACCAAAGTTGGAATCCTATCTGGCGCTCAGTGCCCAGACTATTGACGGCCAGCCCTATCTAGCTTATGCTACGATGCCGAACGATGACGACAACAACTCTTCCGAAGTACCACAGATCGTGGCCTAGTCCGTACGCATCAACACCAGGTAAGTCTTTTGTTTCCCTCACAACCTCGTTCTTCATCAGATATGCCACGGGTGCCCATCCTACCGCGCATCCAGTAATAATAACAATAATAATAAAAAAAAAAATAATAATAATAAAAATAAAATCTCATACACCAACAGCATCGTACACAAGTACCCAGATCGACGTGACCTCGAACCAAAAGCAGAATAACATAGCGAATCCCATCAAGTAAGAGAACATCAAAAGCTCGCATTCGACAACGTTGGTATAGTCGCATCATCATCAATGCAGAATCATCGCCGAAGCCCTGTCAGGCGCTCAGCGCCTAGACTATAGATGGAAGGTCCTATCTAGCCTATCCTACGGTACTGTCGAAGGTGTTGACAACAGTTCTCCTTAAGTACGACCAGATAATGGCCAATGCCGCACGCTTTCTGCAAGAGGTATGTCTCTTGCTTCACTCATAACTTCAATCCTGACACAGATGCCACGCGTGCCCCTCTCTCTCTCCCTTTCGATCTTACTTCCTCTCTCTTTCTCTTTCTCTCTCTCTCTTTTTCACACACACACACACACACCCACCCACCCCCCCCCACACACATATAGTAGTGATTATTTCAACGTAGTGGCGAAAGATTCGTTCGATTTTGCTCATCACTTTGATGGTAGTTGCACGAAGCCAGCCTGCGGATTTGGCAACTTACCCCGCAGATCGATCGGAGCACTATCTCTCTACGCTCTTCACCTTCTCCTTCCCTCTCTCTCTCTCACCGTGCGCACACTCTTCCTGGTTTGCGCACGTCATCACCTTTCTCTCGTTGTGCTGCGCCTTTACCCGTCTTCTATGCTCTCGCATTCGACCTTACCTCTCTTACAACGCTTTCTCCTCCTTGTGACCGCTCCTCTCCTTCTTCTTCTTCTTTACCTCGATTCCGCGAGCTTTCCTCCTTCATTCCCAACACGTCTCACATCGAACCTGTCGCGCTCGTTCTTGTTCCGTAGCGCCCTTACTCCTTTCCCACCTGATAGCCTCCACCATTCCCTTCTTCTTCCTCTCCTTCTTCTTCTTTTACTCTCGCGCCTTTCTTCTTCTTCATCTTCATACGCTTCCTCCCTTAGTGCAATCATGTTCTTTCCATCTCCTCCCATCGTCTTTCCTGCTTACCCCCATGCGCTATCTCGTATGCCTCCCGTTCGCCATCTTTCTACTTGCGTGCGCTACAATTCTCACTTCAGGCACTTCAACACCCGTAGCTGATATCAAGTCACTATAATAATAATAATAATAATAATAGTAATAATAATAAATAAATAAATAAATAAAAAATGAATGTATGTTGGCCATTTTCCCGGTCCGATACAGGTGACAAGGGGGGTGCATTACGTTCCGGTTGATCGCCCTACTGTTGCGATTGCGACCAGCGGCGAACAAGTAAGTGTCTCTCAATCTCTCTCTCTCTCTCTCTCTCTCTCTCTCTCTCTCTCTCTCTCTCTCTCTCTCTCTCTCTCTCTTTTACACACACACACACACACACACACACACACACACACACACACACACACACACACACACACACACACACACACACACACACACATGGTCAACAAGTTCGGCAGTGTATATCTCCATGTCCTAGCAGTAGATTCATCATTCAATTTTGCTAATCTTTTCGATAAGAGTGGCCGTAGCCAGTCGAGGGATCAGCACCCCCACACGTACATACCCACAACCAAACAAACAAAACAAGGGTGGCCGTGTATATTTCTATGTTTCTGGGGTAAATTCATCCGATTTTGTTTTTCCTATCAATGGAAGTATCAGGGAGCCAGCTGCGGGCTTGGAGACTTACCCGTTCCTTTCGCCTGTCGTCGTTGTCGTCGTCAGTCAACAGTTTGCTGCTCCTCGCTCGACAAGGCGATCTGTTGCTATGCGCTGCGTACCAAAACCATGGCACGGAGGACACGACGGACGCAGAAGCCCCTCCCAACGAGCCGGTTGGTCGACAAGTTAGTCGTCCTTTTCCTCGTCTCTCTCCTCCTCCCCTTTCTTCTTCTTCTTCTTATTCCTCCATCTTTCCTCTTTACTTCGCCTTCTTTCTCCTCTCCTCCCTCTCTACTTCTCCTTCTTCCTCGTGCTTGCGAATATTGCCTCCTGCGTCCCTTTCTCCTCCGCTTTTCTCTTCGCAGCTTTCTTCGTGCCCTCCTCCGTTTTCTCGGTGGAGCATCGCCGTGCCCTCTCTCCGATATTGCCCTGTCTGCGGAGAGGCCTGAGCGGGCCGTGATCGGGCGGAGCCATATGTTAGAACGTTTAGATGAACCCGCCCCAGTATTGGGGCGGGATTCATTTAGGCACCTCATCCAGAAAAGAGAAAACAAAGAAAAAGAAATAACTAACAATAAAAAATGAAAACTGTAAAGGGGAAACAAAACCTAATAAAGAAAATAAAAGAAATAACTAAATCTAACTAGAATCTAACTGAAAAAACTCCCCTAACCAGCCAATTGTCGAGCCCGCTACACTCGGCCTCAACAACTTGAACTAACTAATCTTCCGATATTGAGGTTGCGGGTTCGAGCCCCGGTCGGAAGGAAGCGTAAAAAATAAAATCGAATCTTCCAAAAAAAACGAGTCGGCTCAGGGTCGGGTGGATTCGATCCCTGAGTTTATGGCATGATAGCAGAAACCCGAACCCACTGAGTTAGTTCCTATTTCCGATAGAAAGGGAGTAACTCTTCTTAAGTGTAGGGGTGGGGCCTAGTCCCACTAGTGGATCGGGTTCATCCCCAGTTTCGTGTGTGTATGCTTGTAGGTCTGTGTTTCCTGTCCGACTGCGAGTTGGCTTGAGTGTGTGTGTAACCCGTATGACACTTTGTCCGCCTGAAAGGTCCGAAGGGCCGATACTTACTTAAAGCGGCGTCGTAGAGAATCGCCGCAGGGAAAGAACTCCCAGACGGCGGGTAGGGTGGTACTATACCATGTGAACGTCGGTGTGCCGAGTATCTGCGGTCGAGCAATGCCGACATCTGCGTATTTCAGTCGTACCCTATTATGTCAGTAACGAGATCAACCCCTCAACCTCCCTGGTCGAAGGGAATCAGTGTCGATCCTAACCATCGCAGCGCGTGCCATAGTGATGCGCGGGCTCATATGACATCCTAAGCTCAGACTAGTCCCTCAAGGCGGTCGGCACAGTTGACCTGTCGATTGTAAAATCTTGGCCAAATACCCTTGTAAGGGTGTTTGGTCCGACAGTATCCCAGACCCTATTAAGCAACGTCCCCGTTGCCTGGAGAACTATATGCAAACAAAAGATGTTTTCCAACAAGCAAATTGTCAAATCCGAATCCTGGAATGAAATATGGTTCAAGATTGATGTCGTCACCTCACTTTTCATTATTATTGTCGGGATTTTTACCTGAGTCTCCCACATAGCAAAATAAACTAAATGACTTGAAGTGGGGATACTTGATCCGTACTACAGTATATGAAATAGTCAAGTATGACAACGCTCCTTTCCTTCCCCACATCCTTAGACTTTGGCTCAGGTACTCGTTGGTTGCTTTCAGGGTCGGTGTCAGCGTGCTAACTCAATCCTTCAATCGCGGGTCCTAACCGAGACCTTGGGTGTTCAAGTCTTGATATCATGGTCCAAAGTTGCCTGTTGTCCTGCCCGAAGCCTAATACAGGAGGACAACAGTCCCCATCATGACCCACCACAGTCCTGTTGATCAGGTCGGAGCTGCGGTCCACCGCATTGTTGCTTATCGGTGGTTACCCTCGTTGGTTGTGCAACGATGGGTTATTCGTCCTATCTTTCAAAATATTTTCACAATTTTCAAGACTAATCTCGACCCCTCCGACTCCTACCTGAACAGATTCCTTCACTGGGGTGGTCATTCCCTCTAGTCACTTTTCTAGGCCATAGTCGGAGGGTCCACTGTCTGGTTATACTAGGTCAGCAGCCCACGCTGGAAGTTACGTCCCAACGATGTCAATTTTCCACCATAGGCTTTGTATTTTATGCCCTCAGGTTAACCCTTGAGATGGATGAACGATGCTTCTTTCAAAATAAACCAAATAAATGAGATTTCCAATAATTGAGCAGTCGTCAGGTTGTCACTCAGGGTTGTGCCCTCCAAGTCTTTGATCTTAGCTCGGTGAGGCACGCATATCGAGGTCATTGATATATATATATATATATATATATATATATATATATATATATATATATATATATAGTGTCAGCGGCGTGTCTGGAGTGTATTTTTTGGCTGTGACAGGCCTTTCTTTGTTTCGTGGGTGTTTTGCTGGCTTGTGATGGGGGGTGAACCGACAGTCTGTAGAGTTTTCCATCTGGTGTGGGTAAGTGATAGTCTACTTTGATTTTGGTTAAGGTGGATTATCACTTACAGTGTAATCAGTGAGGGGATTCTACAGACTGTTGAGGGTTCAGCCTCCTGATGAGTCGGTGAAACTCCGACGAAACAGTTCGTCACAACCCCTCGTTTGTTGTCCTCTTCTCCCTCTCTGCCTACGGTTTACCGGGCAGTTCTATTTGACGATATATATATATATATATATGTATAAAACCAAATATTTGAATTGAAACCAGACTTGTTGACTTTTTGCTTGTCCGGTCCATCAAAAATTGTCATCCCACTCAAATCCATTTGCAAAACAATGTTCCACCTCATGAGAGGTACTTGTCCATACCATAGCATGGCATTCCAATCATACACATGTATTCAACCCAGCATCAGATTATTCAATCTTTTGCCGTCTTTCATTCATTCACTGACCCGCCCGTTCCTCTACCACCATTCCCAGACCTCAGAGGATCTAAATAGTGATAGACAAAGAGAGGTACTCATCCATAAAACAGGACTCGAAATCATAGACACGGGAACACTCACAATGTGGTAGCATTTATGGTCACCAACTCATTTGCCCTTTTTCTGATTATATATATATATGTAAAATACAAGTATGATACAACACGTCACATCAGTGATTCACCCCACTCATCCCCATTTTGTTCCCTGAATGTTTATGCACCACCTACTTCTAAGTTTTCACCCCTACTAAGTCTTAGAAGGTCTGCCCCTTTTTCTCATACTGCATTCCACTCACTCATACTTACTCTCTGCCCCGACCAAGTGTCTTAACTCACAACTCCTACGTTTCCTATCTTGAGAAGGTGATTGCCAGCCCCAGTATCCTATGGAGTTCTACTCTGCCACCCCGAGGTGTCCTGGGGATTATTGCCCATTGCTAGCTACCAGTCTTCCCTTGGAGTCAAAACTGACCATCCCTTTCCTAATATACTCAGCCAATATGGTACAACCATCCCTGAAGTGTCCCTCCTTCGTGCAGAAGAAACACCCATTTCTGACTTTGTTATGCCTGGTTCTCTTGGTTAGAAGGCCGATCCGAAGTCTCTGTCTGACTTCCGACCCCTTCTGACGATTCCATGCCACGTTGTTCACTCCTCTTGATGCCCCTCTGCTAAGGCACACCCAGGCTTTCACCTTTATCCCCCTTTGAGGCAGATGGCCCCTCGACCCTTGGCTCTCCTTGTGGTTCTTTGCTGGATGGTCCCTCCTTTCCAACCTCAGTCTGCTCGTCCATCCTATCTTCTCCCCCGTTTGACTGAAGGGTCCCTTTTCCTCCTTTTGCCAACCTGATCTTAAACCCTCCTTCATTCTGCCATTCCACCACTTTCGTGGTTTCTTTCCCTTCCTCTTGGTGGCTCAACTTGAGCTCTTTCATCCCTTTCAGTATCTCCTCCCATCTTTTCTCCCATACCTGACTCATCTTTACTCTTTCATGATCTCATCATCCAGGTCCAGCCCCTGCACGCTGACCTCAGAGCACAAACCTTCCACCTTCTTCTCCACCTTCTCCCTCTCAGCCACTTTATCCTCCAATTCCTTGCTTTTCTGGGTCAGGAAAATCTCCAAAGTACTTACTTGTTTTTGCAGCTCTTCCTTCCTCTTTTTCAATTCCTCCACTTCCTTCCTTATCCCCTCCAAATCCTCTGTTAACTTGGTCACCTGGACATCCTTTTCCTCCTCCTTCTTTCTTAGTCTGCTCATTTCCTTCAAGAGCCCTGGAATATAGTCAAAGAACCCTTGGGTGAAGAGCTCAGTGCTTTCCTTGAGCTCAGCCTGAAACCCTTTTCCTACTGTATCTAGGTCTTCTCCAATCTCCCTCATTCCATCTCCTCCTTCCATCTTCCCCAACTTCCTGGCAACCTCAGCATACTCTTCAAAAAGTCTGGGGCACTTTTCATCCAGCATCTCATGCAGCCCCATCATTTTCTGCAAGTTTGTGGAGTGTTTGGTGCTCACCATCAACTCTGAGAGGAGCATCCTCTCAAATTTGACGTCCCAAGTGGAGTTCACAGGCAGGTCATCATCTTGCAGCATCCTGATCATATAATCCCTCCATCCTTTCTTCTTCCTCTCCCTTTGAGCCCTCTCTTCTTTACTCATCTGCCCTTCCTTCACCTCCCCTCTTAGCTGAGATGGACCCCCACATTCCACTTTTCTCTTTTCTGCCTCTTCAACTTTTACTTCCTTGCCCCTTTTTGGTCTCACTTCTTCCTCACCCCTTTTTTTTTCATCTCTCTTCCATCCCCAATTGTTTTTTTTCCCTTGGTTCTCTCGACCCTTGGAGCCTTGCCTCCCTCCTGGATTTTTTTTCTTTCTTCTGCCCCTTTTTCTCGTCTAGCTCCTTCTTCCTTCCCACTTCTCCTTTCCTCCACTCCTTCCCTTTCAACCTCAATTGGTCTTCTTTCTTCAACCCTTCTCTCTCTCTGTGCCTCACTCGCTCCCTGACCTCTTCTCCCTTTTACCGCCGCCCCACTTTCTTCGTTCTCTCCTTCCTCTGCCTGGTCAGATCCTCTGCTTCTGTCCTTGGGGAAAACCCTTGGCTTGCTTCTTAGGTTCCTCAAAGGCACATCCTCTTTTTCTCTATCCTCTCGTGCCCTTATCTGCAGCTCATCCATCTCCTTTCCAATCCACGATGCCTCCTCTTGCAATTTTTCCCTCCTTGTTTGGTTTTGCCTTACCTGGGTGCACACCATTTGTAGTTTTACCGTTATCCTCTGCCAAGTGCAACTTTCTTCCACAATCCCTTTCACTTCCTCTTTCTCACTCTCCTCTGTCCTCTCAATCAATCTCTTTCTCTTCTTCTCATCACTTCATCCCCCTCTCTCAATAGCCAGCTGCAAACTGTCGACAAACTCATCCAGGTTTATCCCATCAAATGTCAAATCATCTTCAGGGAAGATCCCTATTGCTTGCCACAATTTCACCAAGCACGTCTTCCACCTCAAGCATTGGGCTTCCACTCCTTCAATCTTCTTCTTATATCCCCCTGCTCCAACCACTTCCGCGAGTTTCCTCTTATCATCCCACTCTCGCCTGAACGCATACTCCTTAAAATCCCTCAAAAATACACGCAAGTTATCTCCAGCTCTGTAAACAGGTAGCTCCTTCAGATTCCTTGAGACTTTTTGATCGCTCCTCTGCCCCCCCTTTCTCAAGGTAGGCCCAGAGGGCCCTGCCATCCCTCCTCTCTGCGCCATGGCCACTTCTCCCCAAAGGTCACGTCTGCACACAGAGAAGGAGCAATGACAGGTATAAGGATCAGACATCATCATCAAGGCAACACCCTTTTCATCATAAACACCACCTTGACAAAATGCCCCTTTTATCTATACTTCACATGCATGCACATATATATATATACACATATATATATATATATATATATATATATATATATATACGCATGTATATACATGTATATTCCCACTATACCCATTCATATTCATATATGTATACTAACATTATATATATATGTATATATATAATATATATATCCTACCCCTTAAGCGCGGTGGGCCCGCGGGGGGAGGTCGTGTTCTGCTGCGCGCCGGAATCGGGCCGAACTTTTGATTCGGCCCGGCGGATGAAGGCGATCGAGGACAGGGGTGCGTGCAGAGCGGCGCGCGTACCGAATTATTCACAGCGCGCCAAAAAACGAGTGAGCGCGCCCATCGGGCTGGGTGGCGGCGGGCGTTGATGCGAGGGGATATCTCAAAGCGCCCGCCGTCGGATAGTCGTCCCCCCTTTTTTTTATTTCATTTTCAGTTCCCTTTTTTTTTCTTTTCCCTTTTTTCGTCGTTGGTTGGTTCCCTTTTTATTTTCTTTCTTATTCGGTTGCAATCTTCTGTCGTGTTCCCTTCATTTCCGTCGCATTCCTCTGATTTCGCTTTTCCCGTCGTTTCTTTTCTTTTTGTTTCCCGTGGGCGTGTTGTTTCCCGACGGGCATACCTGCACTCACTCACGCCCACACACACACACACACGCCCGCCCACCCACCCACCCATGCACACTCACTCGCCCGCCCGCCCACCCACCCACCCAACCCACACACACACACACATATATATATATATATATATTATGTTAAGTATTTGAAGTTCGTTCACAGTGGTTGCGTTGGGGTTTGAACCCACGCACAAATTTTGAAATACCCAATTGCCACCTGAGCTAACCGCTCAGGTGGACTGGGTCCCTGTCTGTTTTTGGGGACTGTTGTCTTTTGAAGTGTATCCGACGTCAGGCTGCTGGCACGACAGGATGTGCCTGTGTATCTAAACCCTAACGTTGCACGGTGTGACCCCCGCCGGCCTGAAATGGACTTTCCTGGCCTTACTGACCGGGTTCTTAGGGGGGGCGGCGACCGGGCAGGCACAGGCGGGTCCAGGCCAAACATTTTCAAGTGCGAACTTTGACCATTTTTCGCGCTCAAACAAATTGGCAAAAAAATCTGAAAATTTGATATCCTGTAGATTAGGCCGTGATCTTTCCGGGATAAATATCAGAAAAAAAAATAAAAACAGTTAACGGTGAAGTAAATGCCACGCTGTTTCGTCACATTTTCCATTTTTACTACTCTACCACGTTTGGGCCAACGGGAAAAGAAACCAAACTTTCGGTATTTTTTGCAATCAGAAGGATGACCCAACAACTCTGAAAATTTGAGGGTCTATAGATTTGGTCGTGATCTTTACAGGAAAAATATTTAAAAAAATAATAAAAATTATTTCAACCGCGAAATAAATCGCGGGGATAATTCAATGCATTTTCGAATTTTGCCACTCTGCCAGTTCCCCCCACTGTACTACCGGTAGCCCTCATGGACCTGTGGTCGTAGCTGGGGTCCAGGTACATGTACAGATCAAGTTGTCGTTCGGGGTCTAGGTACATGTACAGATCGAGTTGTCGTGCTGTTGTTCGGTTGGGGGTGGGGGACGATGAAAAAGACACACACACTTAGACACTGCTGTTGTTCGGTTGGGGGTGGGGGACGATGAAAAAGGAGGCGCAGCTACTGGCAAAATGCTCGGTCTTTGCGTTAGCCGGACCCCCACCGGCGGCCCTAACCCATTCTTGACCACTATGGTTGGGGCGGGGGGCAACATGCATCCCCTCTGATGGCTGGAGGGAGACAAAAAAGCTATGTTTGCAGGGGTCACCTGTCTAAGCCTTAGGAGTAGTGGTAGGTAGGTAGTGAAGGTGAATTTGAAAGAATTTGAAAGATGATGAAAGATTTGAGAGAAGAATATAGCTTAGTTGAAAAAAAAAAAAAAAAAAAAAAAAAAAAAGGTGATAGTTGGTGATACCCACGACAACTTGATCTGTCTGGGGCTACGTCCCACCACTACAAACGTTTTTTTTTTTTTTTTTTTTTAACTATACTCTTCTCTCAATTTCCTCACACTACCTACCTACCACTACTCCTACTTATAGGCATACGGGGAAACCCGTAGCATACCAGAGCCGTGTTTTTTTTATGGCCCCTCGAGCCTGCAGGATACCGGCCAGGGGACGGCCGGTAGCACCAGGGATAAAGCGGACCAATCCCCCGTGTCTCCCCTCAGGCCCCTCCGCTAATACCCCGTAGCACCACGGGGTAAATCATGTTGCCCCCCGTCCCAACAGCGGTAGTCAGAGATGGGGTGGGGCCGCCGGTGGGGGTCCGGCTAACGCAAAGACCGAGCATTTTGCCAGTAGTTGCACCTTCCTTTCTCATCGCCCCCCACCCCTCATCGAGTAGCAGCCGAGGCTATGACCAACATTCTCCCACACACCACACAAAACCCACTCGCTCTCGCACTCACACCCCTGTTGGCCATAGACCCTGCTAATACCAATCAGGGGTATCCAGAGGACTGTCACGGTCTGTTGGCACTAAATGTGCCACAGGCGGTCATGGGGCTTGAACCCACAACGTCCTGAATGTCAATTGCGTGCCTAACCAACTGAGCTAGACCGCTGCATAAAAGGGTTATCTTTGTATGCCTTTTTTTCTTTCTTTCTTTGTGCTTTTTTTT